GAGTTAGATATTTGGGTACTTTTTATATTCGAGGCACTGAGCTGGGCGATGGATCCTATTGAGACTGGCATGTGTGCCTTCAAGGAACTTAGTGAGTAACCCAGGCTCATCTAACCTCATGAGTGAGCTCCTCTTTCGAAGGTAGAGAGGAAATGCACACTCACCGCAGGGAAGCCTCTTCTGAAAAGGTGGCATTTGCACACGACCTTGGGCAGTGAGTAGGAGTTGGGGAAACTGGTGTTGTGGAGACCCAGGAAATAGCCTGGGGAGCTGGCAGACAGTGAACACTGGTATCTGGCTACCTGTGGGGTGCTTTCCTGGCCTGCTGAGTGGTAGAGCTTTGCTACATCTCTGCTCCTTCCTGTATGACTGGAATGTCAGAGCTTAGGACTCTAGCATTTTAAATGGCCAGTCTTCCACCAATGTCTTCATGTTTCTGGTCAGGGGTGCATGTTGGGTACCATGTGGTGGGGGTGACAGGTACATCACCAGCTGAACTGAGGCTCAGTGGATGGACTTCTGGTGATAGACTGTCACAGTGCTGTGTGAGGCCACACTATTCAAAGGTCCCACCTACCTACTCACTGTGAGGGAGCAGGAAGGGCTCTGAGACCCTGAGCCATCAGCCAGAGCAGCAGATGTCCGGGTCCTTAAGAATGCTGACATCTGCTTGAACATCAGTGGAGGACAGTGTGGTGGGAGATGAGGAGGCGCTGTTTAAAGGAGAGAGAAGTTGTCCTGAGTCAGAAAATCCTGTGGAAGGGGATGGTGTTGGCTGCCCTACACCCTGTGGACCCTGTACTCAGACCTGCATTACAACCCTGTACTCAGACCTGCATTCTGAGCAACGTCTCCTCTCACACTGTGGCTCTCAAATGGATTCTTGTTTACCATCTTAATGGAGGCCAGCACTGGTTGATAAAAGTATAATGTAAGCCACATATGTACTTCTAAATTTTCACATAGCCTCATCAAATGGGCAAAATTGATTTTAGCATATTTAATCCAGTATATCCTAAATATTTCATGAGGTGGCTCAGTAGTCAGGTATGAATGGTAGTCACTGTGTTAGACAGGGCAGTTCTGGACTGATTTTACCTGGGCTGGCCCTGAAGAGACTTGTGTGTGATTACATATCTAATAGGACCAAGAGAGGCCAAACCCCGTCTGTCCTTTGTTAAAAAGATACCAGAGGGAACATGCAGAGGCAGTCTGGATTTCTGCTGATTTCACTGTTTTTCCTCACAATTTGCCTTAGAACCTGTGTGTTTCTGTCTTTGACTTTCAGCTAGATTTCTAAGGGAAAGGCCTTTTGGTACTTGTGCCAGGCATTTCCAGCACTAGCACCAGAGCCTTGCAGACAGACTTTTCACTAGCTGCTTTGGGATTGAAGTTAGGATTCTTCTAGAGACCTCTAGACTTGTGGAAAGCAGCAAGCTGTAGTTATTTACTGTCTCAAGGTGGTTCTGCCTGTCTTGTTAACTAGATTTCCGCAACATGATGTCAGATACTAAGGCATGTGATCTGAAGGCTTCTTTGCCCCAGGAATTCAGTGAGAGGTAAATAGGCGGTTACTAATTGTTCCCAGTTAGGTTTAATACTAAAGATTGAAAGGGAAAGATTTTCCTGTAAAACAAGGTTTTGATGGTGGCTGTATCGCAGGAGATAGTAGAGAGCTGCTGAGGATCTCATCACCCTAGATATGTGCCCACCCGAGTTGAGGTGGAGGTTGGGGTCACAGTGCTGATGTTCATTAATTTGTGTGTGACCTGGGGAAGCCACTTCCCTATTGGGCCTGCCGAAGTGAGGAGGAGAACTAGGGACTTTGGCCTTGAGTTTGGCCATAGTTGTGTCTCCCATCTCCATCTGCCTTCAGAATCCCTGCTCCCCTCTTGTGGAGACTCTTGTGTTCTCTTTGTCCTGGCCCAGCTCTGCCATCCACTCTGCAGTTGGCTACTGCCCGGACTCCAGGCTGTGGGGTGTGTCTCTCAGATGGTCCCCGGGCTTCTGGGACTGCGCTGACCTCCCCTTCCCAGCCCTCTCTGGAGTAGTGACATTGTCCATCTGGGCTATTGCCTTGTGGACTTCCTGCTCCCTCCTGGGTGGGGGTGGGTCCAGCCACACGAGTTCTCCTGGCTCCTGGTGTCTCCCTGGGGTTTTGTAGACATTCTATGCAGATGCTCCCCTCTTGCCCTGGAGCCCTCCTCTTCCCTGCTCCTTCCGGCTGCTGCCTGCTTTACTTTAAAGACCCAGCTTTGGTACCATCTCCTGACTTGTTCACTTATTCCTTCAATATTTGGTAAGTAAGTGTCCTGCTGTGCATGTGGTGCAGAGCTGGAGGCTACAGAAATGGGGCCATCTTGGGGTTTGTGTTTATTTGAGCAGGAAGCCAGTACTCGGCAGCTTTCAACCTGTAGGTGGGTGGTGGTGTCATTTCTGAGTACCTTGCCCTCCTCAGTGCTCTCTAGGCCCCACGGCCCCACCTTACCCCTCTGCCCTCTCTTAGTGCTCAGCACACTGTGGAAACAGCTGGTTTGTGTTCTTTCTCCTAGGCCAGCCCCAGTTCCAACTACCTTGTAGGTACAGAGTCAATGTGAGTTGACTGCATCAGTGAAGAACAGGCTGATAGAAACATTTCCCATAGATACCCAGATACCTGTTGGATAATTTTCTTTATTTGGGACCAGTGTGCAAATGCTGCGGCAAAGAGCTCCAGCTGTAGCTTCAGTGCCTGAGGGTTGTCTGTGCTTACTAGTAATGCAGTGTGCTCTCTAGGTGTGTCACTTGCTGTCAGGCCTGCAGAGCCAGTTTCTGTACTGCCTGTCATGTGGGAGTCACTGTGTCTGAGGTCTGCACACGTTCCTGGATGCCATGTAGATGAGATTCCCTGGCCTCCTTTCTTCTTGGAACTTCTTTGCAGGGGCAGCTTGGAGATTTGTGACCTATACTTGTGGTCCAGTCTGTTTATTTGTACCAGGGCTCATGGTTTGGGGTTTTCCTATCTCCTGGTTACCTTTGAAAGTTGTATTTATGTTACAGAATACAATTAATTTGTGGTGTGCAGTTTTTTCGGTTTGGACTGCTGCATGAAATCACGAGTCTGCCCTGATAGTCATGGTGCAGTCAGCTGCAATCCCTGGCCACTCTAGGTTTGTTTTCTGTGTAATTTTGCCTTTTTAAAACATTATATAAATGGACTCAGAGACAGCACATGCTTTTTAGGGTCTGGCTTCTTTCTCTTACTGGTGTGCATTTAATATCGTCCATGTTGATGAGTCAGTGGTTTGGTCCCTTATATAGATGTGCCAGTCTGTTTATTCTCCAGATGAAGTAGACCCAGATTATTTGCAGTTTTTGATGGTTATGAACAAAGCATCTGTACACATTCACACACAAGTATAGACATAGGGTTGCTTGGTGAGTGTGTTTTACTTGGAAGTACCTAAAATAGCTCACCCTTTGGTGTTTCCACTAACAGTTTATGAGCATTCTGGTTGCTCTGTTCCCTTGTCAGCATTTGATGTTGTTAGCTTCAAGAAGTATTAGCCATTCTAATAGGTGTGCTGTCTAGTTTTTATTTTGGAAGTTTTTGGGTTTTTTGTTTCGTGGCACTAGGAAGTGCAGAACCTACTGAGGATGGAGCTAGTTGTCCTTTTTTACTTTTTATTTTGAGATAAGTCATCTTTAAGTTGTCCAGGCTGGTCTTGAACTTATGATTCACCTGCTTACAGCTTCCTGAGTGATTATGGGCAGGCACCACTAGGCTTGGCTGATCTGCAGCTTTTTCTTTATATTCTCTCCAATGCTGGCAGAATTTAGATTTCATTATTTGATGTGATTTGGCAAGTGCCCTCCATACCTATTGGAGGTTTGATTTCCTGAGATGAATGTGTGGGTGCTCAGAGTGAAGAAACAGCAGGAAAATGAGCCTTTCCTAAAACTTCTTGAGAAAAATGTTGCACTGCATTATTCTGTAGTCTAAGGATTTATTTACTTATTCATTCATTCATTCATTCATTTATTTGGAACCGGGGATTGAACTCAGGACCTCATGCTTGTCAGGCAGGTGCCGTGCTACTGAGCTATACCCCTAGCCCTAGTCTCAGGATTTAAAAAGATTTCTTATTAATTGGATTGAAAATCTTTGTTAGAATTACTTGACCAACTCGTTATGAGCAAAAGCTACTGTGGTGGATTAACTAATGGACAACTTGTGGTGCTGGGTGTGGAAGGCCCACCTGAGGATTGTTGGCAACAACATAAAGAGAGAACTGGAGTGGGAGGTGGTGTGCTGTTGATCGTCCTGGAGAAACTTGTCATACTGGCTTTCCTGATATGAACTTGGCTGTTCTCATCTTTAGAGCAGCTCGAGTCCTCAATGTCACTGAGGATAGCTGTGGTTCTCTTTAGGGGAGCTCTGGTCCTTACCTTGAGTGTTGCTTCCTGGCTCCAGTGCACATCCCTTAGCTTGCTGGCACAGATCCTTCATCCCGCTGGTGCAGACTTTCTAGCTTCCATCACTGACCTTTGGGCCTTTCCAGTGCAGGTCCTTGATACAGACTTGCATGAGACATTGTCGTGGGCTCTAAGCTTCCAGATGGACTCATTGATGACACTGCTATGGACTGTAGGTCTTCAGCTGGATTCATGCAGGATATTGCTGTGGAATCCAGCCCCTTAGCTGGATTCTTTGAGTCTCTAGTGCATCAGATCTTTTGCACTCTTTTGCATTTGACCTTTTGGGTTAATATTATAAAATAGACCTATAAATTATGTTTCTTGCCTCCAGCCAGTGTACAGAAATATAAATTATGTGTCTTGTATTAAAGCTATTCCCTTGTACTGACTATAACAGTTACCAACCCTGTAAGTCAAATATCCTTGTTCTGTCCTTACCACTCCTTTTCACATGGCAAGGTGCACAGTCTCCAGCAGACACAATTTTTTAGCCTCTTTGTTTTACTCGTGGCCATAACAAGTTTCTCTCACCCTCATTCTAGGCTCCTAATCGTCAGCTCATGACTTACTGGTTGCAGGAGTTGCAGCAGAAGAGATGGGAATATTGCAACAGCCTGGACATGGTGAAGTGGGACAGCAGGACGTCCCCTACCCTTGGGGAGTTCCCTAAGGGCCTTGTAGCCAGAAGTAACACAGGTAATACAGAAGGCCATGCCAGTTCTCTGTGTGTAGTCACTTGATACAGCAGGTCAACTTGGCTGTGGATGAATGTGAATTCAGGATGAATGTAGCAGTGATGGTTCCTTCTGAACCGGAAGCATCCTACACTTACGCTGCTTCCAGGTTCAGGGTCATGTTCCAGCAAGGGATTGTAGCCCTTAAATAGTGATTTGACTTTTTTTATGGATTCATGGTGTTTGCATAACTTAGTAATTCCTGGCCATTTACAATTTAGAGATGTGCTTTTATATTTAAATATCAAAAATTAACAATACTAAAAATCTGTGATCATTTCACCACTATGTAGTTGTTTTAAACTCTCTAGAAAGACTGAAAATTATTTGTTGACCACCTCACCTGCCCACCTGTCCTGTTTCCTGTAATTGGGGGGAGGGTGGGACTTTTTTACGGCCCTCACTCGTAGGGAGACAAAGAACAGGCCCGTGGCAGGGCAGGGACCAACTGTGAGTCTTGACGTGGAACTGAAATGGCCAAGCCATTGTCCTAGCAGTTTTGAAGGTCATAAGGAGTGTACATAAAACTTAAACCTGTAAGGGCTGGTTCTAACCCTTTCCTGAAGAGAGGTGGTCTGTATTTCCTAAAACGTGAGGACCCTCTGCTGCGCCACACACAGGGTGTATTTGAGTTTATTGTGCCACTGAGGATTGGCATTCCAGAGACAAATGCCCTCTTAGAATTTTCTTCTTCACATTTGTCACAGCATTGTTCAGCAGGCTGTCTCTGGACAGTGAGAATTCACAGCATGCCATTTGTAGCTGTGGACGTGTTTTCCTGGAAGCTCCCCAACTTTTCCTGTGCATGTGATAGAGGTGACATGATGCCTTCATGTTCAGGTTCATGCCTCTCCATTTTTGTTCAGGAGTCTCCTGATGCTAGGCTGAATCTTTGAAAAGCCCCTGTTGTTTCATGCTTTCCATGAAAAGACTCTTGGTGACTCAGTTCTGAGTCACTTGAGACACGGGATACCTTTGGGGAACCAGCAGCATTTGTGATGGTGGCTCATGCTTTTGTTTAGAAGATACTCTGTTGGCCTCTGTTCCTTTACGTTGGTGACACCAGGTACTGCTGTACAGCAGAAACTCAGAGATGTGACCCTGGGAGGATGGCAGTCTCTCTAGAACACCTCTTTTGCCTCCTTGCCAGCCAAAGCACTGACATTAGTGGCAGAGTTGTATGGAGGTGATCTTTGCTTCCCTGTTTGTGTGTAGTCACTTGAAACTCTAGAATTTAGAGTTTATGTCATCTGATATTCTGCATTCAGCCTGATCCCTGCCTCCTGCAGTTTCCAGTCAAGCAGGGTAGTCATGTGAAGACAGGTAAGAGAGAGTGAGGGCGAGGGATGTGCAGGTGCCTAGGTCTGTGTGTGGGCAAGTGTGCTTTTAGGCTTCAGGAGATGAGCAGAAGCTCGCCAAGTTGAAAAACAGCTGAGGCAGGAGAGCTGGAGTTCAGTGGGGCTGCGGGGCCAGCAAGCTAGTTTGTGGTGCACTCAGGTGGAGTTGGAGCCATAGCTGGCTGGGAGCCTGGTGGCTGGGAGTGTCCTGGCTGCAAGGTTCTGGACTCTGCCCAAAGCACAGTGGAGCACCTTTGAAGATACTATGTGTAGAAATGACTGCAACTTCTACCAAATTTTAGATAGTGTCACAAAGAGTGAAACCTCTGGGTTGTTTTCAGGCCATAACATTGAGGAAATGAAAAAGCCTAAAGCAGGAAGAAGAGGAGGCTGTATTTGAGCCCCTTTTCTTTCATCACCAGAGAGAAAAATGGGTTAAAGATAAATTTTTGGTTGTGCCATGGGATATCCTGAACCCATGCATGTAGTTACCTGCTCTGCTTAGTCTAGCCATGCTAACTTGAGCTAGAGCTGACAGTGGATATTTTTGTAATGTTGGTTTGTGTAAGAAAAAAAAAACCCCAAACCTTTTACTGTTGTTGTCTCCAAGTCACCTACTTGTCTAATGGTGGCCCCCTATCAGGACCCTTAAGTACTGAAGCCAGTGTGGGCAAAGGTCAGGGGATTGACTCTGTCCATTGATAGTCAAGCACCTCTGGTTTTGGGGAGGGAGCCCTGTGCCTCTGGCTGGAGATCTGATATCTCCTGCTAATTAGGCTCTGAGCAAGTCACTTTACCTCCCTAACAGAAGTGCAGACTGCTGTGTAAAGTTTGTCCACCTCCTTCATGGTACTGTTGTTGGGACTGAGTGGGAAACCCAATGTAAAGATGAAGATTTACAACATAGAAGCACATACAGTATATGCACACATACAAACACATACAGTGTATATGCACACATATGTATATGATAGGAGTGGGTTAGGATTATTTATTTTCAACTGTAGTTCACAGGTGTCTTAGTTACTTTTGTCATTGCTGGGACAAAATAGCTGACATCCAAAGTTAAAGTGGGGAAGATATTTATTTAGTTCACAGTTTGTGGAGGTTTCAGTCCATAATTGGTTGGCTCCAAGGCAGTGTGGCACATGGCAGAGGGGCAACAGTTCATGGTAGTGGAAGAGAGCAGAAGCCACAAGAGATGAGCCATGAACAGTTGCCCCTCTGCCACACTACCCTACCTTACAGCCTGCCAATTATGTATTGAAACCTCTGCAAACTGTGAGCTAAATAAACCTTTCCTCCTTTAACCTTAGGTGTAAGGCATTTTGTCTCAGCAATGAGAAAAGTAACTAAAACAATAGGAAACCTCACAGAGACGTACAAATAGGGTGTACTTGTCCCATGTGACAGGCATTGGATGACTTGCATAGCCACTCACTGTTTGTTGTTGAGGGATCCAGGTATGTTGACCCTGTGCTTTCCATCCTGGGAGTATATTCGCCTTCCTGCTAGAGCTAGCTGCTCCTGGGAATTGCATCTATATTAAAAAGGAGGATGCTTTCCCAGAAACCTTCAGTGCATGTGTCATTAGCTAGAGCTGTGTCACATGGCCATTCCTCACAGCTGTGTCACATGGCTGGAAGCAATCTAGGGAGCCAAGTGATTCAGCCAAGACGTGGCATCCATGAAAACTGAGGTTCCTGAGCAAGGAAAATCCTCAGTAAGTATTTGAGTGAGCCGCTCTGTCACTTAGTTGCTTGCATTCATGTTTTCCCCAAAAGTCCTGTCTTCAGAATGAGACTCTTACCCACATGCTGGATTTTCAGTCTTGTGCTGTTGGTCAGGAGTGTGAAGTCTGTGTGGGCGCAGCAGGCTGAGTGTCTGAGACCTGTTTGAGGATAGATGCTGTTTCTTGCAGAAACGTGTGGCAGTGGTTTGAGAGGTGACTGCATGATTCCTCCCTTGCAGCAGCTGCTTTTTGTAGTTCACTGTCACCCTTAGCAGCTGTGAGTTGGGGGAGGAGGAGTTGCTCCCAGCCCTGTGCACCTGGTGCAGGCTTCCTGGGCTGAATGGATGGAGGGCAGAGCTGGCATTGACCACCCTCAGCCAGCTTCCATATCATCCTTCGAGGCTGTGGTCCCATGTGATAATCCCAGAAGTGCTGCTTCTGTGTCATCCCATTTGGGAAGTGCTGCACAATGCCACATGGTGTTTTAAAGTGTGAGCCATGGTACCATCACCGGTGTTGTCTCTGAGAGGCTGTTTCATGGAGCCTCTAGAGCCCACAGAGAGGTGAAAGGATGCTATCTTAGTAGCCCTGGGGCACAGTCCTGAGGGGACACTTGTGCATGCACCCCTGGTGGTAGTTGGTGCTAATGAAGGGATGTGGCTGGGAGATTGGTTGGAATGGGGGATGGGAACAATTGACCTGCACCCAGGGAGCCCATCAGAGGTGGTTGGGGAGGGAGCATGAAGGTCAGCTGTGGAGAACTGCTGAGGCCTCAGCTGCTGTCTCCCTCATTCCCTGCTAACCATGGGAGTGAATTACTGTCTTCTTCAGTTGTTTAGCTATTTTACTGATGGCAGCTGAGTCCTCCTTTGTGCTGGGTATTGGCTGTGCAGTGGTTAGCACTCAGCTAGTACTGTGCTGTGTGTGTCCTTGCAGTGGGTGTGAACAGACGTACAGCTTTAACAGGACCAGTGGGTAGCCTGTCCTGTGCGCTCTCACCTCCACCTCTCCAGTTGTTGCAGTAGCTAAGAATGGTGCTGTGTCCTTGGAAGACAACTTCTGTTCCTCAGGACTGCTCTTTCAATCTGGGTTAAAACTTGATTTGATTATGAAAAAGGTGTTTCAGATTCAGCCACCCCATCTGCTGTGGTGATGCCCTGGCTTCCCTTTGCACTGTGCTCTGAGACATGTCGGTGGATTTCGTGGGATTCTTCTGGTTGTATAGTTTGCTAGGAGCAGAGTGGCTGGTGGAACGCTAGGTCTGGCTTCCCTGGCAGGATAGGAGCTGGAGGGGAATGGGAGCCTTCTAGGGTAGGGCAGTTGTGAGCAGGGGCCTCCCTAGAAGATCCCCAGCAGGTAACTTGGGCTGTGGCCCAAGCTAAGGCTGCTTAGGTTGCTGGAATTAAGAGAGTGCTGGAATCAGGACCCAGGAGGTATAGACATTGCAGTCTGAACTCCCACAAAGGTGTCAGTTAGGCACTGGTAGATGTTTAAAGAGGACAGAGGAACCAGGCATTGTGCACACCTGAACCCCAGCACTCTTGGGGGCTGAGGCAGAAGGATCTCAAGTTTAAGCCCAGCCTAGGTAATTTAGCAACTTCCTGATACTTTGTCTCAAAAGGGCATATAGTTCAGTGCAAAGGTCTTGTTCAGTCCCCCAGTATGGGGAAGGAGGGAAAGAAAGACAGAGAGAGAGAGAGACAGAGATACAGAGACAGAGACAAGAGACAGAGAGAGAGAGAGAATGAGAATCTTTCCTACAGCTTCTCTTCCCAGGCCTCCAGCTCCTCTGTACCCCACCCTCAGGAAGCTCTTCTGGGTTGGGCCAGGGTTTCTTCGAGGTCTAGGGTTGCTTGGTACTGAGCACTTAGCCACACCAGAGTGTGATAATTGGTGCTGCACAGGAAGGAGGGCTGCCCTAAAATGAGTGTAGCTGGTCCTGGCCCAGCCTGGGGTCATTTGTGTTGCCTGTGGTGGGTCTGAGCAGCTGGGCAGCACTTTTACCTTTTTTGAGCTAAGAGGTGGAGCCTCCCCATTCTTCCTGAGCCCTCCATCTGATGCGGGCCCAAAAGCTGAGCGTCTAGCTTACCCAGCATGGTCCTCTGTCTTTGCCTTGTGATGTTTGTCACTAAAGGGACAGGCAGCACCTCTATCCCTGCCTCTGGAGTTTGTAACTTCTGACTTTTGCCTTGAGTTTGGGATTTGTTCCCACACGCATGATTCTTCCGTCCCTAGCATACTCCTTGGCTTTTCCTGGTCAGAACCCTTGCATAAACTGGTGTTGATTTCCCTGGCTGAAGCCAAATGCCCCTGATGGGACAACATCCTCTTACTCGTGTCACACTCTGGGTGTCTCCCACATGGACATTGGGACTTTCTATACCCATGCTGATCGGGGTTCAGTTAGTCACCTGGTTACACAAGGCAAGCCCGTCAGTGGGTTGCTGTGTAAGACACTGGTCTTCAAGGGTCACTCTGCTGCCTTGACCGTGCCCAGTGATCTCATGGAGGCCTTTCCTAAATGATGTGGGCTGTGTGGGTTAGGTTAGAAACTAGCATTGGTGAGAAGCTCCTTTGTGATTTTCTTCTCCTAGAAAGAGTGATAGTTGATATCACTGATATAGGGATAGTTTATTAAAAAGAAATGTAAACTTCATTGACTGTGGTGAAGTATTATTATTAAATTCTGTTTACAAATGTGCCCTGTCCCCCGAGTTATGTCTTTTGAAAGAATTCAAAGCATTTGTAGTTTGAAAAGTTAAGTTTAGCAGGTTTTTAAAAGAAGTAATTTTTAATTATGGGTAAAAAATTATGGGTAAAAAAGAAGTAATTTTTAAACATGTCAAGGGAATAACATCATGTTACCTCCATGTTGATTAGTTTCAAAAATTATTTCATAGCTGGGTGTGGTGGCACAGGCCTATAATCCCAACACTTGGGAGGCTGAGGCAGGAGGATTGCCATGAGTTTGAGGCCAGCCTGGACCACACAGTGAGACCCTGTCTCAGAAGAACAAAATAAAATAAAACTTTAAAAAAATTACTTCGTGAACTTTCTTGGTCTCTATTTCATTTTGCTATTTTGAAGCAAGTAACATATTGTTTAAACTAATACTATTATATATTTAAGTAACAAAATACCACTGTTTTGAAATAAATTCTGGATATATCACTTCAACCTTAAACATCTCTGAAACTTATATTTTAAGGATATATTTTGAAACTTGGTCACACTTTAGCACCAGTGTGTTTGCCTATAGTTTACTAAACTGATGTACACACTTTTTGCAGTGTCACCATTTACAAGTATTAGTAAATATGTTGATATTTGTATTTCTCCTACTTTCTTGGTGTAAAGGAGTGCAGTATAATCTGATCTGCACTTTTTTTCCCTGTGTACTGGTTTGTCCTGGAGCTGGTTCCTTATCGGCACAGGTGAGCGGACTTTGCTCACAGTTCCTCCAAGGCTTACTAGTCTGCAGGGTCCAAGGGGAGTCCTGGTTGGTCTCTCTGTGGCCAGTGCTGGTAATTCTGGGTGTTTTGAAACATATCACAGCCTTCCTTTGAGAAACAGGTATCTACTTTAATGAAAATAGCTTCAGAACACCAAAGCCACCCACAGGTTGTGTTTTTTTTTTAATATGGTATACATTAAAAATATGCTGTTATTCATATAGTTGAGATCTTCTGTGTAGCATATTAGGTTCATGTTTCATGTAGGATGTCAAGTTTCACGTAGAAGTTTTGAGTAACTGACATTTGTTTGGTTTTCTCTCAGATGTCATCTATCCGCACCCAAATACTTCTGCAGAAAAAGCCAGAAATGTCCTAGCTGTGGAAACTGTTCCTGGAGAACTGGTGGGAGAACAAGCAGCAAACCAGCCAGCGCCAGGACACCAGAATCCCATTAACTTCTACTCTTTGAGACAGTGGGGCAGTGAACTCAAGTGAGTGGCACATGGCATAGGAAACTGAAAAAGGATTATTTCTGATAACACACATCACAACATATGTGTTTATATATGAAATTATAAAACCATTGTACACTTGAGAGGGTTCTTTGTCTTTTACAGTGTATTTTCCCATGGCCCATTTTTTTTTTTTTTTTTTTTATAAGTGTTTCTGTTCTGTGGCTCATACCTTGCCAAACATCATCGTGCTTATGGTTTAATTTAAATGCTTGAGTCTGAGATAAGTCCTGTGGTTGATGTTTTCAGAGGTGGAAATTGGCTGACATCAAGTGTGTTTAAGGCCACAGAGCTCGCAGGGCCAGTGCTGGGGCTTCTCGCCCAGAGGGTCTTGCCCACCCGATCTTTGCACTCTAGGCTGGCCCAGGCCTCTGCTGTAGATTTCCATTCTCACTTGTGGTTGGGGCAGTTAGAATGGAGGTTTTGTTAAAAATGTATTTGTTCTTAAAGAAAAACACCCTTTTAAAGATATAATTCACATACCATATAACCCGTCCACTTAAAATATGCAATTTAGTGGTTTTCAGCGCATCCACAGAGTTTTGCAACCATTACCACATTCCATTTTAGAACATTCTCATTGCCCCATAAAGAAACTCCACACTTTTTAGCAGTTGCTTTCTATTTCTCCTACTTTCTTTGCTTCCTTCCCACCTTTAGCCCTAGGCAACCCCTGATCTACTTCCTGTTGTTTATTCTGGACATTTCATATGAATGGAATCACATGAGACCTTTTAGATCTGGCATTTTTCAGTTAGCACGTGTTCAAGGTCTTTCCATGCTGTAGCATGTCAGTACTGTACTTCCTTTCCCTTAATGGCCAAATGATATTTCCTTATATGGCTGTGCCATGTTTTGTTTATCCATTTATCATTTGGACAGTTGAATTGTTTCCACTTTTGACTATTACCAGTAATCCTGCTGTGAACCCTCATGTACATTTGTTGTGTGGACATATTTTATTTCTCCTGGGTATATGCCCAGCTGTGAGATTGCTGGAACTCATGGTAACTCTATGCAAAACCTTTTGAAGAACTGCCAGACTGTTCCTCAGTTGTACCATTTGACATTGCCACTGATGGTATATACAGGTTCTCCTTATCCTTACCAGTGCTTGCCTTGATCCTAGCCATCCTGCACGGCACTGTGGCATGGTTGGCTCTGACACTGGTGTCCCATTGTGGTTTTGATTTGTATTTTCCTAATAACTGATGACGTTGAACATATTTTCATGTACTTACTGGCCTTTTGTGAGTCTTCTTTGGAGCAACATCTATTCAGACTGTTGGCCCGTTTTTAATTGGATTAGCTAATTTTTAATTAGCTGTGTGCATTCTTTGAATGGAAGTCTTTGAAACAGTCTACTTTATAGTTACAGAACTTTAGTCTGGTGTAGAAGATGGGGATGAGTGGAAGGGTTGTATGCTGATATGTTGTGGGACTTAGAGGTTTCTTACACTGCTGCAGGGCCCAGCCAGTGACCAGGATGCAGGCCAGGCAGCTGCACTGCAGAACTCAGATGTTCAAGGTATCCAGAAACACATCAGGAGGTAGCCTCTTCCCTTTAATCACTTTCCCTTTTGTGTATGTCTTTATGGTGTTCATGTGCTTTTAGTTCTTCAGACCTGGGTTTCTATTGGAACTGGGTAGGATGTGGTCTGGGCCAGACCTAAGAAGACTGGCACTGTGAAGGAGAGTGCTGTGGGGCTCTGACCAGCAGACCTACGATGCTCCAGCCATGTTCTGCTGTTCTCTCCTCAAAGCCTGTGGAGTCAGGTTCACTTGTCTGACACTGAGATTCTCCGAGTGTGGCTTCAGTCAGTTCCTTGGGTGGCTATTTCCCTGAATTCTTGCTGTCCGCACCTCTGTGTTCTGGCCATTTGCTGACTTCTGCTTCACCCCACTTCTGCACTATGCCCATCTGCTCAGTCTGACCATCTCATCTGGTTGAGCCCAGCTTGCTCACTGTGCCTGTGTGTTCAGTGTACCTTGTCTCATGAGGTTGCATCCCACTCACTTTCCAGTACCCAGGGGCAGGGGTGGAAGCAGCAAAGTGCCCCCACTTGCACCTAGAGCTGCACGGTCCCCTGTGTTATGACACTTGCTTCTCAGCAAAGAAATGAGTCTCTGCTCCCCAAAATGCCAGAAAACCATGAGAAGGCCCTCCCTGCATTTTACAAGTTGAAAAGCTGAGGCCTAGAGAGATAAAGTGATTGCCCAATGCCCTGGGGCAAGTGTGTGGCAGAACTGAAAAGCACACCCAAGTCTCCTCCACCTTTGCCTAACATATTTGGAGGACTATGGATTTGCCAGGTTTTTGTTCCAGAGTAGCCTTTTCTGCCTTCAGAATTAGGTACCAGAGGAGCCTTTTCTGCCTTCAGAATTAGGTAAAGGAATGAGGCAGAGACAGACTGCTTGCTTTCTGTGTCCTTGAGCTTAGGATGAGTTTTGAGTGCTGCTGCCAAGGAAAGGGAGCACATGTCATTTTGGCATGTGACAGCTGACAGAGCATGTTCAGAGTTGAGCATCACTGGGGCTACCACCTATCAACCCTATTTTTGTAGTGTGGCACAGGGATAAGAGCCAGGCTCCCCGAGTTGAGTGCCAGCCATACCTCTTGGTAGTTGGGTGTGGTGGACAAATAACATTCTTGTGCCTTCATTTCTCACTTATAAAACAGGGTAGTCATTGTTTGGGCTTCATGAGGTTGAATGTTGATGATGGGCCAATAGTGCAGAGTGATCAGAACGATGGCTGGCACTGAGTGAGTGGGAAGTAGGGTTGGTGGCCATGGTTGGGGGTACAGCTCATAACAAGTGCTCTTTTGCAGGACGACTCTATAGAGACCAAATGTTCATGATGCTGTGTGGATCTTGAATGTTTATGGTATTTGGCTTTTCTTTTGTTTATCTTTTTGTTTGTGACATGCAATATGAAGGTTTAAATAAAATGTTTTGGATGCCTGGGGATACTTTTATTTTTTTCTGCCCTGGGGATGGAACCCAGGGCCTGCACATACTAGGCAAGTGCTCTGCCATGAGCTATGTTGCTAGCCTGGAGATATTGTAATGACCTTTGAAATAGTGAAAGTATTTTATCTCTATAATTTAGAAGAATTATTCAAAAGTTATGTGTGTCTTTTTTAATGGATTCTAAACAGTACCCAAGTTGAGCATAGTTAGGGCTGAAAGGAAAATTGAATGCTCATATTTTCTTTATCAGTAGCTGAAGCTTTGTTATGAAATTGTCCTCATGAGCTGACTCTGAATTCCCTCTGGGCTGTGGTCCACACTGGCTATATGAGACTAAAGGGCCCTGTGAGCTGCTGCCTGGCTGAGCTGTGGACTCCCCAGGATTCAGCTGGGTTTGTTCCTGACCAGCTGATGCCTGTTATACCTTGTAATTATGTAATTCAATGAAATACTTAGCACACTCAGTATGAAAATGAATCATTTGTATGAAAAGTAAGTCAGACAGGCAAAATTAGTAAAAATGGGTCACTAAAAAAACTGTTCTGTGGGTGACATAGTGGTGAAAAAATCAGAGAAGACTGTTACTAAATGTCTGTGAGATTCCGTGCTTATGTTGTTTCTAGTTGTAAGTCTCTGTTCACTTTTAAAAGAGAAGCAACACCAAATTGAAACAGCACAGGGATGTCTTTTTTTAGCTTGTGGGTTTATTTATTTATTTATTTATTTTTTTCAGACAGGGTCTCATTATGTAGTTCAGGCTGACCTTGAATTCTCCATGATCCTCCTGCCTCATCCTCCCCAGTGCTTAGATTACAGGTGTGTGTCACCATGTCTGGCTGCATGAGGATGTCTTGTATGATATATGCAGGAAGGTGATGGACAGCAGTTGGTAACACCACATGCAGAGGCCTGGCAGGCAAGAGCTCAGTCACATGTCCCTTTATAAGTATGTGGGTTTTAAATTCAGTTGTTTCACTTGTTTTCCTATTTCAATGACTTCATATAGCCAGCACGTGTCCAGATCATATCAGGTAGGAAAACTAGGCCTTTTGTGACCTCTGCTGGTCCACGTGCATCTGAGAGTGCAAGTGGAGTAAGAATGCAGTGTGGGAGGCATGCCTGCCTTGGCTGCAGCAGGGCTGAAGCAGTGACAGTGCCTGTGTGGCATGGGTTGGGCTGGTGTGTGCCTGGTGGCTCCTGGATCATGCTGACCACTGGGTGGGGTCACAGAAAGGCTGTGCTCTTTGTGATCAGTCTGGGCTTTGGAGCCCCCAGGACTGCACTTACTAGCTGTGTGTTACAGAGCTAGTCTCTTGGCTTCTCTGGGTTTCCTGTCCTCTGTTGTAAGTGGCACACATGAGTAAGGATGTCTTGCAGTGCCTAGCTCGCTGCTGGAGCTGGTGCTGGTGTTTGGTGGCTGTGTGATCTGGTCTTACAGGCGCTACTGCTCATTGTTAGCCAGGCTCCTTGACCTGGTGAGTTGGGGGAGGGGATGCCTGCTGTGGGCAGAGGCCCCATTGTTGTACCCTGTCCCCCTTCCTCACTGGCCTCTCCTGGGCCCCTGCTTGTACTGCTGTTTTCTGACTTTGTTTTGCTTCTCTCCTGACACCTAGGCTTGGTAGCATTTTTAGTAATGATTTGTGTGCATGGCTGCTGTCCCTAGGAGTCTAACAAGGGCTCTGCTGTCTGGGACACAGCTCGTGACTTAGCTCTTTAGCCCCAAGAGGCACAGCTGAGGGTCTAAGCTAGTCTAAAGCAGGCACCAGATATGTGATGAATTTGGGGAAGTAATTCGTGTCCGGTGCTGTGATGTCATATTTATTTGTATTTTCCTTGTAAGATACAGCTTGATGTTTGCCAAGAAAGACAAAGAATGTAGTCAGGCTGCTTCCTCGAAGGGAAATTTTCAGAGCTGTGTCTTGGGGAGGGAAGTATGAAGGAAGGATGTGGTCTGGCCTGTGGAATCACCGTGCCTTCTCTGGCATTGGAGCCCCATCCTCCCTCATG